GGAAGTCTGGACCTGTGACAGAACACCTTCCGCACATTTCCCCCATTACTATGACAGGCCTTACATCTCCCGCACTGCTGCGTGGGTATGGTGACAGAGGTACTTGTTTCATAGACATGTGTCATTACTGCAGGGAGATCACCCTTAGAAGTCCCAGTGGCCTGGACAGCCTGCAGGACATTGCTGACATCACAAGTCACAAGGAGCGCTGGTAGCACATTGGCGAGTGGAGTCGGTATGCAGAAACTTGTTCGGACAGGTTTTTCCAACCACTCAGTGCTAATGAAAGATACTTTGTAGAGCAATCAGCCATTTATGTGCTCTAACCGATCATTGTACAGCGATCACATGGCCGCCAGTGAATGTATCTCCTCATCATTGGAAGAAATGGTGCACACAAGGCTGATGATCGTAGGGCGATCACTGGGCTAGCTCATACACATCAGGCTGATGATTGCAAGAGGATCACCAACTAAGGTAGTACACATCAGGCTGATGAGGGCTGGGCGATCACCTTCATAGCTGGGACATTTAAAGCTGACTATACATCTATACTTGTACAATCGGCTTTTGATCTGCCCCCAACTACATACCACCCACTGCTGCCACCAGCACCACTCACATATCTCCCCCACTGCTGCCATCAGCATGCCACCAGCACTGCCCACATATCTCTCCCACTGCTGCCACCAGCACTGCCCACATATCTCTCCCACTGCTGCCACCAGCGCCACCTGCATATCTCCCCCACTGCTGCCACCAGCGCTGCCCACATATCTCTCCCACTGCTCCCACCAGCGCCGCCTGCATATCTCCCCCACTGCTGCCACCAGCACTGCCCACATATCTCTCCCACTGCTGCCACCAGCGATGCCCACATATCTCTCCCACTGCTCCCACCAGCGCTGCCCGCATATCTCTCCCACTGCTGCCACCAGCGCTGCCCGCATATCTCCCCCACTGCTGCCATCAGCGCCTCCCACATATCTACCCCACTGCTGCCACTAGTGCCATCTGCACATCTCCCCCACTGCTCCCACCAGCACTGCCTGCATAGTTCCCCCACTGCTTCCACTAGCACCACCTGCATATCTCCCCACTGCTTCCACCAGCGCCACCCACATATCTCCCCCACTGCTGCCACCAGCACCGTCCTGTGATCCTCCACATCTGCCCCTGCTGAGACCCTTCACATCTGCCCTGCTGCAATCTTCCACATCTGCCCCTACTGCGATCCTCAACATCTATCCTGCTGAGACCCTCTGCATCTGCTGAGACCCTCCACATCTGCCCTTGCTAAGACCCTCCACATCTGTCCTTGCTGAAACCCTCCGCCCTAGACATTTCACTGGCAGCCTGGGGCAGAGTGGCAGCACAGAGTATGTAGCAAATTCATATACTTTTCTGCATTTAGGTATAATGCATTGCTGGGATTTGCAGTTCTCTATACCTGATGGTATTCTGCATTGCTGTATAATGTATTGCTGGGATTTGTAGTCCTCTATAGCTGGTGGTTTTCTGCATTGCTGTATAATCCATGCACAAGGAAACCTTCATATGCCCCGCTTCCCGACGCGTTTTGTCACATGACTTCTTCCAAGGGTCAGCATGCATTGATGACTCAATGACAAATGTAAAGAGCATCCTTGGCATTGACCACAAATGTATGGCGCAGTCTTCCCACTGACCATAGATGTAAGTAGCAGTCTTCCCACTGACCACAAATGTAAGGAGCAGTCTTCCCACTGACCACAAATGTAAGGATCAGTCTTCCCACTGACCACAAATGTATGGCGCAGTCTTCCCACTGACCACAAATGTAAGGAGCAGTCTTCCCACTGACCATAAATGTAAGGAGCAGTCTTCCCACTGACCACAAATGTATGGCGCAGTCTTCCCACTGACCACAAATGTAAGGAGCAGTCTTCCCATTGACCACAAATGTAAGGAGCAGTCTTCCCACTGACCACAAATGTATGGCGCAGTCTTCCCACTGACCACAAATGTAAGGAGCATTCTTCTCATTGATCACAAATGTACACTGACCACAAATGTGAGGAGCAGTCTTCCCACTGACCATAAATGTAAGGAGCAGTCTTCCCACTGACCACAAATGTATGGCGCAGTCTTCCCACTGACCACAAATGTAAGGAGCATTCTTCTCATTGATCACAAATGTAAGGAGCAGTCTTCCCACTGACCACAAATGTAAGGAGCATTCTTCCCACTGACCACAAATGTAAGGAGCATTCTTCCCACTGACCACAAATGTGAGGAGCAGTCTTCCCACTGACCATAAATGTATGGCGCAGTCTTCCTACTGACCACAAATGTAAGGAGCATTCTTCCCACTGTCAGTGAATGATCACTTATTGGGTAGAACACTGCTTACATTTGTGGTCATTGGTAAGAATGCTCCTCAGTAGACATGTGCGATTCGTTACGGAAAGATTTGTTTTTCGTAAATTAGTACATTGGGATGCATCCGAATTTCTGAATGACAGAAATAACAAATGCAAACAAATTCGAATTTCTGATAACGGAAATTTCGGATGCATTTCGAACCTCTTTCCCGAATAAAGTTTTATTGTGTTAAGCATCAACTTAAAAAAAAAAAATCTGAATTTTCATTAGCGTTAGTATGTATGAATGTTCGTCGCAGCAAAATGACATTAGACAAAAGAAGGAAATGTTTTTTGTTTACAATCTGATGAAGAGAAAAAAAAAAAAAAGCATGAGCTTCCCCCCCAATTGATTACCACTGAACCATCACATTCTCAAACAATTCATCCCCACACAGCTACCTCCTCATGTATCATTTCCCCCTCCTCTTTTAGATTGTAAGCCCTCACGGGCAGGGCCCTCCTTACCATCCTGTCTTGATTTGTATTGTAATTGTAATGTTTTCCTTACATTGTAAAGCGCTGCGCAAACTGTTGGCGCTATATAAATACTATGTAATAATAATAATAATAATAACAGACCCTTTAGGTCTGGTAGGAATGTTAGGAGGGACCCCCCACAAGTAAAAAACAAACAAACTGTGTAGGGCTCCCCCAAAGGTCAAACCAGGCCCTTTAGGTCTGGTAGGTATTTTAAGGGGGGACCCCACCCCCCACAAATGGGGAAAAAACGTGGGGTCCCCCCTAAAATTCACACCAGACCCTTGAGCCGAGCAAAGGCCCGGCAGGGCAGGAAAGGGGGTGGGGGGTGATCAAGTGCCCCCCCTACCTGCTCCATACCAGGCCACATGCCCTCGGTATTGGGAGGGTGTCAGGGATGTGGGGACAAGGGCCTCTTCCCCACATCCCTGACCCCATGGTTGTGGGGGACTGCGAACAGGGTGGCTTATTTGCAACGGAGTACCCCTTGAATTAAGGGTGCACCCAGATACCGCCACCCCCCCTTTTGACTGAGAAAGGGGTACTTGGGGGGTGGTCCTTTCTAACATTGCTACCAGATCTAAATGGTCTGGTATTAATTGGGGGAGGTGAACCTAATGCTTTTTTTTTTTTTTTTGCAGGCTGTAAAAAAATACAAAAAATTTTTTTTTTTTCTTTTGTCTAATGTCACTTTTCTGCAACGAAAATGCGTAGATACTATCGCTAACGAAAATTCCGAAACAAATTGACTTTTGGACCCGAATCCCGAAAAATGAATTAACAAAAAATCCGAATGAAATCGAAACAAAACACATTTCTTGCCCACACACATGTCTACTCCTCAACATTTGTGGTCGTAGGGAAGGATGCTCCTTACATTCCCAATGACCACAAATGTAAGGTGCATGCTTCCCAATGACCACAAATGTAAGGGACATGCTTCCCAATCACCACAAATGTAAGGAACATTCTTCCCAATATATGTGTACTGCTATTTCATGTAATTAGACAAGTGGATTATAATGGGGAATATTACACTGTAATGTTCCCTATTATAATCTATTTCTCTGATTAAATGATTAGCAGGCCTCTGTTCTATGAAATGTAAGGAACATGCTTCCCAAAAACCACAAATGTAAGGTGCATGCTTCCCAATGACCACAAATGTAAGGTGCATGCTTCCCAATGACCATAAATGTAAGGTGCATGCTTCCCAATAACCACAAATGTAAAGATTGTGCACGGCAGGGAGCAGGGCTTGTGACACACACACGCCTCCTGTGACTCACCTCCCCTCGCGCCGCCTGTTACTATGGATGCTTCCCAATAACCACAAATGTAAAGAACATGCTTCCCAATGACCACAAATGTAAGGAACATTCTTCCCAAGGACCACAAATGTAAGGAACATGCTTCCCAATAACCACAAATGTAAGGAACATTCTTCCCAAGGACGACAAATGTAAGGAACATGCTTCCCAATGACCACAAATGTAAGGTGCATGCTTCCCAATGACCACAAATGTAAGGTGCATGCTTCCCAATAACTACAAATGTAAGGTGCATGCTTCCCAATGACCACAAATGTAAGGTGCATGCTTCCCAATAACTACAAATGTAAGGTGCATGATTCCCAATGACCACAAATGTAAGGTGCATACTTTCCAATGACCACAAATGTAAGGTGCATACTTCCCAATAACTACAAATGTAAGGTGCATGCTTCCCAATGACCATTGCACTAATTCGCTGTGAGCTGCAGATTTATTAATTATTATTATAATGAGTTCCCTGAGACCTGAAAGTTTTTTCAAGGGTTCCTCCATTTTAAAAAGATTGAGAAAAGCTGCTACATTATATATTTTTTATATTAAAACCTTAGTCCAGTCTCACAAGTTACAGGCTATGATGTGCCAATCTATGAGCCTCCAATCATAATTGTATTTGTGTGTGCCGACCACCGGACTGGCTGCTGCAGTTGAGTAAACATGTTATTTCATATGAGTAGACCAGAAAGTTTTTTTCATAAAAAGTTCAGTTTCACTTCAGTCACTGTTGTCTTTGTATTATTTTTAGATACACATAGACCGGCCCAGGGTTGTCATCGTGCCGGTGTACCTTGACCCCCAGTTATCTGTTGTCTGTATACGGGCTCTTGTAGCTAAAACATAACCTCTGGATCGTGTGGCACATGGACTTTAGCATACCTTGCGAGCAGTTGCTGTCTTTCTCTGCTGTGACGGACACAGGTGAGCTCTCTCCTGTCATATATACATAGGTCATGGTTTTATAGTATATATCATATATGATGGTAGTTTCATTTCTTTGCGCACTCTTAAGCCTTCCATACGGTGTTAAGAATGAGCTTGGAGAAGTTATTAGATACAGTAGCACAAGTTAAAGTGCACCTGTTGCTAACAGGTGGAGGCAGGCATTTAGTGGGCACTGGGCAGAACTAATAACCGTGAAATTGCAACCCGTCAATTCAGCAGGAACAATTAAACTTGCCGATGCACTTCATGAACGAGAGGTTTCTAGTGAATAGCCTGGCTATGCTCTCTTGATATGATTTAACCCCCAAAAAAATGGGTTTTCTTTTTAAAGACGCGGGGCGCTCTGTAAATGAAATTATGTTGCCAATTTATTTGTCAGATACTTGAATTGGGGCTGTCTAAATAAAATGTGGAGCCGAAGGCAAGTATGAAATGCGCTTTGTACCTTACCTCTATTGTCATGAAGAGGGATAATGGCAGCCTTTTGTGCCTCTGGTGTTAATACGTGTATAACGACAACCTCCGAGGCTCAGGAAATAGAATGACAGCTTGTAGGATCAACAACACGCAAAGCAGACCCTTATAGGTCTGTGAAATCAGAGCTGTGTGCTTTCTGCAGCAGCACTATGAGGGTGCGGAGGGGTTATTTAGTGTTAGGGATTGGTTTACGGGTTAGGCTAGTGGTAAGGGGCAGGAGGCTTATTTTAGCTTTTGAGATTATTGTTAGTTTTTTTTTGGGGGGGGGTGAGTTGTGTTATGTTCTGAAGTTTTGCTTACTTTTAAGGCTCTTGCTCATGGGCCCTTGCTCCCGTAAAAACCAGCACATACCCTCCGGCAACTGCGTACAGCCATTGACTTTTGTGTGAAGCTGTATGCTGCCCCTGGGAATATGTTGGCTTTTATTTGTATAGTGCTGATAGTTTACACAGCACTTTACATAGTGCACATTCACATCAGTCCCTGCCCTCAAGGAGCTTACAATCTAAGTTCTAAGTTCTCCTGCACATGGGATTTGCGAAGCCGATCTGCCCTGGAACAGCAGAGAAACCGTTGGAATGCTTCACCTATTCCACCGCCGAAAAACTGGGCGAGATTACGTTAAAATGTGTGACCACGTCACTGGACCCGCCCCCTCACGAGAAGCCCGTCGGCAGTGCGGGGCCCCGGTGTTCTGACACCGGGACCATGCACTGCCCCATATCGCAGGAGCGGACCCCACTGTGGCAGTCGGGGTGCCCAGGACCGGACCCCACTGGGGCCCCCACAGCCTCAGGCCCCAGTGTGCCGGCACTACACCCTTGGCACCAGGCAAAATTTTTCTTAACCATTGCAGTGGGGATACCCCTGCACTGCAAGGGTTAAGTGCTTGTTTGTGCCCATATGCAAAAAAAAAGTGATACTCAGTCGACCCCTGGAGCCAGCTTGGTCTGAGACCCCCTCTGCTGCAGCGGTCTAAGGATCCTTGAGTCATCACGTTCTATACACTAGTATGTGAGGATGCTGAGGGGAATACCATTATTGCAGCTGAGGAGGAGGCAGGCTGGAGGGAGTGCTCTAACAGCCGGCTGCGAGGTTTAGGTGAGTAACTTTGTTATTTTCATCCCTAGACAAAAACGAGCTCTTAACCGTTGCAGTGAGGGGGTAGCCCCACTGCAAGGGTTTGACATTTTTTTTGCTGGAGTTCTCCTTTATGTAAAGAAGGGCATACAGATTAAAGAGTTGCTTTCTGAATGGTTGTTGTTTGTTGCTAATAGTTAATGGGGTCAAATCAACAATAATTTTCAACTGTAGTGACAAAGAAAAAAATCAAAGGTGCAGGATGGAAGATTTTCCACATCATTCATTTCCAAAATTGAAAGTTAAAATCAAACTAACTTTCAATGACATTCTGCAAGTCTCTGACACCATTATCAAATGTTCTGAGGGGATTTTTGCTAAATTAATATTTGTACCACACTCTAACCATGTATACCCAGCCCAACCCTTTTAGGTCCTGTCCCTTCTCTAGCATTGGACTGGACAGTGATAGTGACAGTGGACAGTAAAAGGAGAAGCAGCAGACAGTTAAGCTCATCTCTGTCTGCAAAATCTGTCAGGCTGGATGCTTTGTTTACGTTTCTAGATGCCTAACATGATGCAATTTCACGCATGTGTACACCTGATTACGTGCATAGGCTTTTAGATGCATCTGTCCTTTGTCCTTTGAAGTAGCCAATGAGATTTCAGCAAATAATAGCGCCTTGGCTTTACATGCGTTTTGGTGCGTTCAGAAGGTAAAATTGTTTCCTGAACGCACCTGAGCAACTAAACTGACTGCATCTAAAAGCAGCATTCACAAGGTGTGAGTGGATCCATTGGAAATAATTAGATGCATATATGTGCGTTTAGAAAACCGTTTTAAACGCATATAAAAGCACCTAATTGCACCTAAGTGAATGGGGCCTAAAGTAGCTCTGCGGTTCAGGTGAGTATACATTTTTTTTTTCTAGACAAAAACGAGCACTTAACCCTTGCAGGGCTGGGGTAGCCCTACTGCACAGGTTAATAATATTTTTGCCCAGATATGCATGAATCATTTTCTGACTTTTCACAATATACAGCTACAGTATCATTTTTACCTGATTATGTTATCTTTGAGCCGGCATCTCAGTCCAGGAAGTGGATGCAGACCCTGAATGATATTTAATGTCATAAGAATTACTGTATGAAAAAAGTATGCAGCATAGGGAATTGACCCGGGACAGGGAATAGACTAGAAGCCTAGGGTTTTGAT